CATGAGCAGGCTTTCCAGAAAGGAAAGTTACAGTTACAGATAACACTTTAAAGATACTCTCAGCTCTGTAAAACTTTTAAAAGTTATACTTCTGCTACATTAAAAAAGTTTTGTGAGTTAAGAACAAATAAAGGGAAGTGCAATGGCCATTCCAAGAACTGAAATGATTACTATCTGTAGAAACCAGTTAGACGGGACCAGAGACAAAGTCTTATCTGTGTATACTCTACAGCTAACCTGAAAGAATCAGGGATTTACTTCTCTTAGTGTAAGCCAATCAATCAACACATACTTATTAAGCATCTTTAACATATTGTTCTAAATTACTTAGTTTCTCTGAGCTTGGAAATGAATCAGTAGGAAAATTTGACTTTATAGGTAAAGAGGGTTGGTTTTAAACAAACTGGCACACTAAACTTAAAAGATACTGTCCAGGCCAATGCCATTTCCAAAACTTGGACTTTTTTTTTTTTTAATAGCACTAACTGCAGGCCTAAAGCAAGGGGCTATGGAAAGAAAATATCAGCAGTGATGAATAATGCTGTATTGCTACTACTATAGGTATACTCTGTTTCGATGGGTAAGAATTTTATAGGACAGTTACAGGTAGAATCCTTCCTAAACTGCAGACTCACATGTCTAAAGAAAGGTATCTTATTCTCTTCCACCTCTCCCCCATAAATCATATTTATAAATTTATTTCAATAAATAATACTATTTTCATTATCTAGGCTGAAAACTCTGGAGTCATCCTTAAATTACTGTTCTCCTTCATTCCCATGTTTTGTAATGAATGCATTGTTTTTGCTACATCTTCACTACTACCACCAAAATTCAAGGTCTTGTCATCTTACTCTTGGTTTACTGCATCTTTCTCCAAACTATTAGGTCCTCTAGTGTTAATCTGGCATTGGCAGAGAGGTAATTTCACCCTATCACTTACCTGTTAAATATTGCTGTTTTTATTATAGAATAAAATCCTAACTTCTCCCTCAAGCTGGGGTTGACGGTGTGGTACCTCTTTACCATCTCCAAGAGCAAAGCCTGGCCCTTGCTAACTGAGGAAAGATTTTGGTACAGAACAAAGACCTCAATTGATGTAATTCTAAATACAAGTATCATACAACACACATCTATAATACTTCACATTAAATTTACCTGCCAACTGTTTAGCCTGACTTGCATTTTCACTCTGTTTTGTACGCAATGAGGCTGACTTTTCCTTTTCGTTCTTATTTGAGCTGTTCTCCAGAGAGGAAAGCTTTTCAGCTGCAGCTTTCTTGGCTTCTAGTTTCCTTTGTCGGCAAGTCTTGACTGGCTCTGCTAACATCCTGACTTTCCGCCGAAAAGAACTCAGTACTTGAATGGCACCATTTCGTTTTTTCTCCTCCTGAGCTTCTATACTCCCACACTCATCCACATCAGAGATTTTGTATAAAGGCAGAACATGGAGCTGCTCATCCTCAGGATTTCCTCCAATTTCTCGATTGTCTTCTCTAGTGAGGGTACATACCTAGTAGGGAAGTGGGACATCACAGCCTCAATTATAGGTCCAAAAGAAAAGTGTGTGTGTGTATCTTTCTCCCTCTCAGTGTCATCAGTGATATGCATATTACCATAAAACCATTTCTATCTTTTTGTTAATAAAAATAGCACCAAAATGGTACAGGGAGACAAAGACAAGACCATCTTGTCCCCCCCCCCCCCCCCCCCCCCCC